AAATTACTTACTCTTGCCTCAGTCTTTTTTTTTTTATGAAGTTTTAGTGAGTTTACAGAAAAGTTGAGTTTTCACTCATTCATTGATACACATTTTCCTTATTTCTCCTCTAATTCACATTATAATGCACGTCTTGTTCTAGAGTGTTAACTGTCATACGTGAACTATCTAATCATGCGTTCCTTTCAGGTAGACCTTCCTTTCACCTATTCCAGGAAGGTATTCATTATTGCTTTGATCTTTATTTAACCTTGTATTTTGACAAACTCTATTTTTCTTCTAAATTTTAATTACTAACTCACAAATATTCCTTCATGCCTCAAGCCATTTTACAAGGTTTGCTGCACTTGTCACATCACCGTTCCACACCATTTTGTTTCTTTCATTCTCCAAAGAATATTTAAATTATCCTTGTGTCTTAGAAAGAGTTGACAGCATAGGAGTTGATATTCATTCTAGAACTTATTGTTATCATAAAAATGAATATTATTAAAAATTATGATACTTTATTATCCCTGAGTATACTTCTTTTTACTGTTATTACTATTATTTCTCTTATGAAACTTTTAGAATTTTCACTTTTCAGAAGATTTTTACATTCTTTAAGATAACATTTTCCAGAAGGTTTTAAAATTTTCAGAAAAGTATCTTTCAATAATTTCTTTTCATTTACTTTTCTATGTGTTTGTCATGCTGTTTGAATATAAGAACTCATACATCCAAGCTGAGACAAGAACAGGTGCATTCAGGGTGGTATGGCCACAGACTACAGTCAGGCTTAGAAAGTATACTTTCCTTTACTAATTTAATTTCAGAATTATCTACTCTCATACGTTTTTAGTCATACTCGTAAGCTTATCTATAATACCTCTATAAAAAGAATACTATATTGAATATTAACTTTATTTACCAGGCAAAGGAATTTGACTATTATCACAGATAATGGCTAACACTGAGAAGAATGGGAATCCAAGGACTTAATTATGCTCATGTAAAACCTATATCTAGACCAAGAGGCTATTGTGCAGAGCAAGGAGACATTAATTGGTTAAAATTAAGGAAAATGCGCATCAGCATTGTAACTTTTCTTCATAACTATTCAATCTGTATGCTGATCAAATCTTTCAAGAAAGAGAATTCTATGAAGAAGAATGTGGCATCAGGTTTGGAGGAAGATTCATCAATAACTTGCATTATGTAAATGGCACAGCCTTGCTTGCTAAAATGAGGAGTGCTTGTGGTGTTTGCTGCAGAAGATCAAAGAATACATTCTTCGATGTGGATTGCATCTCAACATCAATAAAACAGAAATTCTTACCACTGGACTGATAAACAACATCATGACAGATGGAGAAAAGGTTGAAACTGTCAAGGAGTCCATCTAACTTGGATCCACAGTCAACATCTTTGGTACCAGCAGTCAGGAGACATTTTATTGGGAAAATCTGCAGTCAATGACCTCTCCAAATTATTGAAGAGCAATGATGTAAGTTTGAGGACTAAGGTGCACCTAACTCAGGCCATGAATAACATTTTCAATTATTGTTATGCATCTAAGATCTGGAAAATGAATAAGAATGATAGAAGATGAATTGATGTCTTTAAATTACGGTGTTGGTAAAGAGTACCGAACATCCCATGGTCTGTCAAAAGAACAAATAGGTATGTCTTGGACTAGATACAGCCAGAGTGCTTCTTGGAGGCAAAGAAGAGAAAGTTTCATTTCACATACTTGGGGCACGATGCTAGGAGAGTCCATTCCTTGGAGTAGGAGGAGGGTGGAGGACTGGCAAAAGAAAGGAAGACTCAACCAGATGGATTGACACATTGACATAGGATAGGACAGTATTAAGATCTCTTCTTCATAGAATCACTATGAGTCATACTTGACTTGAAGGTAAGTAACAACACAACAATCTGTTTAATACACCTAAGAATAAGTAGGATATGACTACATTAACTTTATATATATAAGAGAAAACAGACCATGTAAGAAATATTTTTACATGTATATAATTGTGTATACGTGTATTTGTGTTGTACATAGGGTCACTTTGAGTCACAAGCAACTTGACGGCACATAACAACAACAACAACAACATATAATTGACTGTGCAAAGGTACTTGACTGTGTGGATCATAATCAATTAATAAACTGCAAAGAATATAGTTTTCATTGACAAGAATAGAAATCCCAGAAACTTAACTATACTCATTGAAAACCTATATACATACCAAGAAGCAGTAGTTGAAACAAAACAAGTGAACCCTACATGGCTTAAATCAGGCAAAGTTTGTGTCGGGTTTGTATACTTTTTCTAGCTTATTCAATCTCTATGCTAAACAAATAATTCAGGAACAAAGACTACATGAATAAGAATGTTCTTGTTGTCATATACAGTTGAGTGGGAACCGGCCTGCAAGCAGGTTTTCAGAGACAGTAAATAAGAGGGGAGTAGATTGTCCATCTTTCTCCCATGGAACAGCTGTTAGATTTGAATTGCAAACCTTTGGGATTGTAGTGGTTTTTTTTTTAGCACTAGGCTACTAGAGCTCATGAAGAAGAATATGGCCTGTGGCCTATGGCCTTCCAGTTGGACAAAGACTCTTCAGCAATCCCTGTTATGCAAATGACACAAGCATGCTTGCAGAAAATTAAGAAAACTGAAGTATTTATTGAGGAAGATCAAAGACTACAGCCTTCAATAGGTTAATGTCTCAACATAAAGAAAACAAAAATCAAATAAGCAGCATCATGACAGATGGAGAAAATATTAAAATGATCAATGATTGAATTGCTTTTGGATTCACACCTAGCAGTCAAGAAATCAAAATATATTGGACAAATAATGCTGTCAAATACCTCTTGAAATGCTACAGACATATAAGATGCACCTGAGTCAAGCCATGATGGTTTCAATTGATTGATATGTATCTGAAAGTTGGACAATGAATAAAGAGAAGAATCACTGATTTGAATAAGTAGCAAAGAGAACTGAATATCCTATGGACTACCAACATAACAAACAAATATATCTCAGAAAAAGTGCAACAAAGGTGCTCTTGAGAAGCAAGAATGGTGAACCTTCATCTCACGTACTTTGAGCACTTTGTCATAAGAAGCCTGGACTTGGAAAAATATATCATGCTGAGAAAGATTGAAGGGCACTTAAGAAAAGAACAGTCCCTCAAGGAGATTTAGAAACACAGTGGCTGTAACAATGGGTTAAAGCATGTCAGAGTTGGTAAGGATAGTGACCAGTAGGGCAAGGTTTTGATATGCCATCCACAGGGTTGCTATGAGTTACAGCTGTTTGGAAGGCACCAGAAAATAAGTATATTCAATCTCTCATACCTTCTCTTTTTTCTTTGACTAGATGGTAATCTTTTAGTGTTGTCATTGTTATTTGTCTTTATTTCTGCAGTATTTTCATCATGTCATCTTTCAAAAATTTTAAATGAGTCATTTATATATGGTATTATGTTTGATACCATAATATGCTTGGGTTGTTCTCTCATTTTTGTAGGGAGACAACAACCCTTGGCCAAGAAATAAAGGCTTCTAATCTATAAGAGAGTGTCTCATTACTGGGCGCAATGCTAAGAGACACTGATGTGTCAAATGTGCTAAGGGTTGGTTACCCAATGAGAACGGAGAGCGAGGTGGAGCTCCCTGATTAAAACAAGCTTGGAAGGAGGAATGGCATCCACTTCCATAATAGCTTGCCTCCGGAAACCCTATGAACATGGAGAGAGGATGAGAGACACCCAAGCGTCGAGGACTCTCCTTCATAGAGTCGCTATGAGTCGCCTGCGACTCGATGGCACTTAACAACAACAACAACAACAATCATAATATGCTTACTTTCTGGAATATGTTTCTTTTCATATGTTTAATTTTCCCAGAACATTTTGTTACTAGCCACTTAATTTATATAGAACAGAATTTTGCATTCTTGATTTAATAAATCTTTGTTTCTGATGATGTAAAATATTCTTTTTAGATTTTCCTCCTAAAAGTATGATTCTCAAATATATTTAACTTTAATTTATATTTGAACATGAGTATTATTCGAATACCTTTTTAAATTTTTCTATTCAATATTTTTTGTCTCTCACTGTCTTTTCTCATAATCTCCTTCTTAATTTGTACATATTTTCTAATTTTATTTGTAAACTTGTAGTATTTCTATTACTCAATCATCACATAAATTGACTTTTAAATACAAGACAGCATTCAAAAAAGAAGGGATTTCTAAAAGATACTTCAATAGTTCAATGTATTACATTAGCTAAACAATAAGAAAGCTGAGTGATGCAATATACTTCTATTTTGGGGAGGAGCTAGAGTAATCGTGGCAGCTGCAATGACTATGACACACAGATGATCCGGTAGATTTTTGGCTTAAAAAGGAGATTTTGAAATTTACTGAGGAAACAAATTGGAATCCACAGCAGTAGTATAAAAAAGATTATATGAATTAATATAACTTCTGTAATTGATATTATAAATGGGTATTTATAAACAAAAAACAAAAATAAATATATCTGTCTTTTGAGAGTATAAGTTGCATTATTTGATTCAATAGTGTGTAAAGAATGGAATATAGCTTCTAAAAATGTCTGTTATTTGTCTACAACACATTTTAGGACATATATTTAGAACGAAAACTGGAGGGTATAAATATTTGTTTATAATTTTATAAATTATTTCTAAACCATGTGATTTGAGCAGAAAAATCTTACTTTGATTATCCCAAATTTTATGTGAGACAATAAAACATCCTTAACCTACTAAATTTAATTTGATCTGGAAGTCAGAAAAGGAAAGGGCTTTCTAAAGTAGCTCAATCTATTCCTCTATTTTAAGGGTAGGAGAATCATGATTCTTTCAAGTCTATGTAAACTAAAGAATTTTTTAAAACTTGGTTTATTAATTTAAAACATTTATTTTTTTCAGTGTTTTGACAATAAATAAAAACAAAGCATATGAATGTCAGATGGAAAATTATAACCAAACGTCAAGTGATTTCATCTTATTAGGACTGTTACCATCCACAAAAATTGGCCTATTCCTCCTCATAATCATCATTGTCATTTTCTTATTGGCTGTGATTGGCAACTTGTCCATGATCCTCCTCATATTGCTGGATACTCATCTCCACACACCCATGTACTTTCTACTCAGTCAGCTCTCTCTTATGGACCTAACTTATATCTCCACCATTGTCCCAAAGATGGCTTACAATTTCTTGCTGAGAAACAAGTCAATCTCTTTCATTGGATGTGGCATCCAGAGCTTCTTCTTTTTGACTTTGGCAGGTGCAGAAGGACTTATTTTGGCATCTATGGCCTATGATCGTTATGTGGCCGTCTGCTTTCCTCTCCATTATCCTATTCGTATGAGCAGAAAAGTTTGTGTGCTCTTGATATCAGGGTCTTGGGTAATAGGGTCAATTAATTCCTTTGCTCATACTGCATATGCACTCCACATTCCCTATTGCAAATCCAGAGCCATCAATCATTTTTTCTGTGATGTTCCAGCCATGTTAATTCTGGCATGCATGGATACATGGATATATGAATACACAGTGTTTGTGAGCACCATTTTTTTCCTTTTTTTCCCTTTTATTGGCATTACCTATTCCTACGGACGAGTTCTTTTGACTGTCTACCGCATGCCTTCATCAGAAGGGAAGAAGAAGACATATTCAACGTGCAGTACTCACCTTACTGTTGTGACTTTATATTGTGCACCGTTTGGTTACACCTATTTACGCCCCAAATCCTATAGATCCCAAACAGAAGATAAGATTCTGGCTGTTTTCTACATCATCCTTACACCAATGCTCAATCCTGTAATCTATAGCCTGAGAAACAAGGAAGTGATGGGAGCCCTGAAAAGAGTAGTTCAGAGAATCTATTCTTTCAAAACATAGACGAAATTTCTGCATCAGTCCTCAAGCTGCAATTATTTATCCACTTAAAAGTGCAATTTCATTTAGAAAAAAAATCAACACATAAGAACACAGTCCAAATTTGTATTTCAAAATGTTGGAATTTGTTACTAAGTAATAATTTTTCTGATGTAATTATTTTCTGAAGTTTTTTTTTAATCTTTGTAACAAAGGCATATGCAATTGATTAAATTTCAAGAATAATAAAGTTTCACAAATGGGAGAAATGAAATTGTAATTAATTTAACATTTATCATAACAGTCTATTGTAGTTAATATTGCCCTCAATATGAGCAGATTAAAATAGGATAAAAATGGTTTAATATAATTGATTCTTGCCAAGGAGCTCTCATGGCTGAATGGCAGGTAAGAAGCAGCACTGCAATCTCGAAGGCATATGGTTTGAAGCCACCTGCTGCTTTTTAAGAAAAGGATGAGCAATCTCTTCCTGGATGATTAACTGCCTCTGAAAATCCCCCAGAGGGTCAGTTATGGGTTGGTTCCAACTCAATGTTATACAACAAACAACAACAACATAATTAATACTAATCTAAAAATATATTTTTTATAAACTATTTTTTCCACATTTGAGGGTCAATGACAAAAAAAATTAAAATGTGTTCTACATTTATGAAGGAAATAGACAAATTTGGTTCTCAATATTAGAGTCCTGCCCTTATCTGGATGGATTTTAGCAAAGATCTTAAAATTTCTTAGCACATCACCAATTCTGGCGGGCAAAATACAACTAAGCCATGGAAGGACTACCAACGTAATTAAAGGAATAATCAAAGTTAGTTAAAATGAGTTGTTGTTGCTATTATGAGCAGTCCAGTCACCTGTGACTCATAGTGACCCTACTGTGTACAACATCCCTAAACTCTGCTCTATCCCTTACCAAACTTATTGGCTACAGTACACCTATCCCCACTATCCAGTGACTGAATCAATCCACCTTATCAAAGGTCTTCCTTTCCTGCGCTGCCCTCCCACCCTCTCAAGCATGACATCCCTCTCCAAGGACTGATCCTGCCTTGCAACATGTCCAAAGTATGTCAAACGCAGCTTCAGAATCTTTGTCTCCCAGGTGCAGTCTGGCTTCACCCTCTCCAAGAATAACTTGTTTGTTCTCCTAGCAGTCCATGGTATATTCAACACTCTTCCCCACAATCACAGCTTAAAGACATCAATTCCTCTATCATACCTAGCCCAGCTCTCTGATGCACAGCTAGCAATTGCAGAGACCATGGCCTGTATCAGGCACACCTTAAACTCCAGATTGATATCATTGCTCTTCAGTACTTTGGAGAGATCTCTGACAGCAGACTTTCCCAATGCAATTTGTCTTTTAATTTCCTGGATGCTGGTATCAAGAGTGTTGATTGTAGAGCCAAGCAAACTGAAACTGTCAACAATTTCAATCTCTTCACCATCTATCATGATGCTGCCAATCGGTCCAGTGGTGAGAATCTTTGTTTTGTTGATGTTGAGCTTCAATCCATATTGAAGGCTGCAGTCCTTGACTTTCTTCATCAAGCACGTCAGGTCCTCCTCAGTTTCAGCAAGCATGTTGTTCATAACACTGATGTTGATGAGTCTTCCCCAATTCTGACGTCACACTTCTCTGAGAGCCCAGCCTCCCAGATAATCTGTTCCACATATTGATTGAAAAGTTATGGAGATAGGACACATTCTTGATGTACATACACCCTTCCCAATTTTGAACCATGCAGTGTTTCCTCACTCTGTTCTGATGACTGCCTCCTTGTCCAAGGATCAGTTTGAGTACTGATTATAATATCTAAGCTACTCTCCAAATAAGATTCCAATATAAATTTGAAATTTTTATCCCAAATAGCCATAATGTAAGAAAATAAATTCTAAGCATTATGTAGTGCCTGTTATTATTTGCCATTGAGTCAGAACTGACTTATAACTGACCCTCCAATAGGATAACAGAAGCTATTAATTGCAAGGGGATAAGTTTCCAATCTTTCTCCCATGAAACAGCTGATAGATTTGAACTGCATGTCTTTATATTGACAGTACAATTCCTGACCCACTAGATCAACAGAACTCCCTAACCATGTTTTAGTAGACTAAAGTAATAACTAAATTGTTGTCACTGTTATGTGCTGTCAAGTCAGAACTGCTCATAGCTGACCCTCCAGTAGTTTTCAGAGGCAATAAATTACACAGAAGGAGATTGTTCTTTTTTTTCTCCTGTGAACAGCTAGTACATTTGAATCAAGTGCCTTCAGTTGCAGCACAGCTCTTTACCGTGAGAGTCCATGAGAACTCCCAATAATCAAGTAGGAAAATAAATTCTGTGCCTTATCTTATTCTCTACTCATTAGACTTGGAAGTCTATTAAGATTTTTTGAGGTAAAGAGTAAAGAATCAAACTTTCTGCCTTAGTATTTTAATTTTATATACCCATTCAGTTTGTACCTAATAGATCCCACTAGCATTCCAAGAAACATGATAAAATTCATCTGGGTAAATCCTAAAGAAGAGATTTACTAACATATCTACTTCAAGTTTGCTCTATTCCGAGAGCAGCAACTTCTTGGTGTAAGTATAGGTCTCTCATGTGCACAATTAAGTTATTGGAATCCCATTTTTCTCAATGTTAACTATAATTTGTTATGATCCACACTGTCAAGTGCTTTTGCACGAGTCAAGAAAACTAAAATAGACTTCCTTGTACTATTAACAATAACCCTCGAGCCAGGTTGTTGTTGTTGTTATGTGCCATTGAGTTGCTTGCCTTCCTCTCCTGCGCTGTCCCTCCACTCTCCCAAACATGATGTCTCTCTCAAGTGTGGGTCCCTCCTTGCAACATGCCCAAAGTATGTCAGACGAAGTTTCAGAATCCTTGACTCCAGGGAACATTCTGGCTTCACCCTCTCCAGGACAAACCTGTTTGTTCTCCTAGCAGTCCATGGTATATTCAACACTCTTCTCCAGCACCACAGCTCAAAGGCATAGCCTCTTAAAAAGTGAATATGAATCTTCAGCAAGATTTTCAAGTGATATTAATGATATTCTGTTCCATCACCTTTTTTTGGGACTGAGAATAAATATGAATCTCTTTCAAGTAGTTGGCTAGGCAACTGCCTTCCAAATTTTTTGAAATGTAATAATAAGCATGTCTAAGGTACATCTGTTTAAATATGTTAATTGGTACTCTCTCGGTCCTGAAGGCTTTTTCCCCCAATGCCTTCAGTTTAGCTTTAATTTCTTGCTTAATGTCCATTGTTCCCTGATCATATGCTTTCTTTTTTAAAAAATTTTATTAATTTTAATGATTATATTTTCATTCAACCATTGTTATACTTTTTTCTTTACCCCATCCCCCAAGTTTGTTCCTCTCTTTGAAAAGCAAAATATAAACTTCTTCATTGATATACATGTCCCCCCAATCCAGCCCCTCCCCCCCAGCCCCAAATGCACTCCACTATGCAACCTTAATTCTGGATTCCTGTAATAATCATAATATGCTATCATATATCAATTGTAAACTGTTCTCTCCCTCATCTGTTTCAATTCAGTATACATAATCTATCCAGTTTTTCTCAGTCTTACCCCAACCCTAATGTGAGTAACTTTCTACAACAGTGGCACTATGCAGTATTTGTCCTTTTGTGACTAAGATATTTTACTCAGCATAATATCCTCCAGGGTCACCCATTTTGAATAATATCCCATGAGTTCCTTGTTTTTCAATGCAGCCTAGTACTCCATTGTGTGAATATACCACAACCTCTCTATCCATTTATTTGTTGATGGGCACTTAGGTTGTTTCCAACTCCTACCTATTAGGAACAAAGCTGCAATGAACATGGGTGTGCATATATCTGCTTGGATGTCAGTTAGGGTCTCTTTTGGGGTATATTCCCAGTAGTGGAATTGCTGGCTCAAATGGTACCTCTATTTGCAACTGTTTGAGAAAGCGCCATATCACTTTCCACCATGGTTGCACCATTTTACACTCCCACCAACAGTGAATAAGGGTTCCAGTTTCTCCACAACCTTGCCAACATTCAATGTTTGCTGTTCTGTTAAATTTTGCTTTTCTTACTGGGGTGAGATGATATCTCAGAGTTGTTTTGATTTGCATTTCTCTTACGGCTAGGGATTTTGAACATTTCTTCATGTGCTTGTTGGCCATCTGAATGTTTTCTTTGGTGAAGTGTCTGTTCATATCCTGTGACCATTTTTCCATTGGATTATTTACCTTTATCTTTTTGTGGTTCTCAACTATTTTATAAATTCTAGATATCTGTCCCTTATCTGGCATGTCATTACCAAACACTTTTTCCCAGTCTGTGGCTTCCCTTTTTACCCTTCTGGAGAAGTTTTTGTATGTGAATACAGATTTGCTACTTTCTGATATAGTTCAGTATCAGCCAGTTCTTATTGGTATAAAAATCTAGACTTAATGAAGAAGAATGTGGCATCAGGATGGGAAGAAGACTCATCAATAATTTTTGTTATCCCAATTATAGTTAAGTATCAGCCAATTATTTCTGGTATAAATATTCTAGACTTTATGAAGAAGAATATGGCATCAACATGGGAAGAAGACTCATTAACAATGTGTGTTATGCCAATGATTCAACCTTACTTACTTAAACCGAGGAGGATTTGGATAAGTCACTGAATAAGATAAAAAACAACAACAACAAAAATAACAACAATAGCCCCAAACCCCACAAAACTACAGCCTTTAATATGGATTAAATCTCGATATTAAAAAAATACTATTAGGTCAATAGGCCCCATCCTAAAAGACGAAAAAAAAATGGAAGTCATTAATGATTCCATCTTGCTTGAATTCAAAATCAAGGGCCTTTTCAGGATGTTAAGAAATAGTGATATTTGTTAAAGACTAAAGTGAACCAGATTTAAGCCATGGTCTTTTCCATTACTTGACACTCATTTTCAGTTAGATAATTAGGGATGATGACACTAGAAGA